AACACATGACTTGTTTTAAGACCTTCGATGTTACTGGACTCGCTCATGCGTACGGTCTGCTTCGGTTACCAAAAATGAGAGAACTTAGTGGGCGGGCAGATCTCGACAAATTCCAGCGAAGTGACATCGATACGTCAACGATCAAATACGCAAATCCGGCCCTGGAAAAGAAGCGAGCCGAGGTAAAGCCCTTAGTAATGTAGCCCCCTTAGTAATGCTGGTGCTTGATATTTCTTATCGTTTTAAGATAATGGCTGCCAAGCACGAGAAGAGGGTGAAAGCGATGAAAGAGAAATTGGCGAAGAAAAATGCTGAGAAGAAATCTGGCGACAAAAAGTTGAAGCCGAAAAATGGTGTGAAGACCGCAGCCAAGTCAGAGGTGGGAACGAATTTGTTCTAGCACATAACATCTTTAGGCGATATCTCATAGTAAGTACTGGCCTGTCTTGGAGCCTCTTGGTATATCTGAATGTTCCATCATATCAGATGGAAAAGATGGGAGATGGAAAAATAAAGTTCTAGGTTGTTAAGGAACTAGGATCATGTGATTTTCCAGAAATCAAAGTCTCTGAAGCGAAAACTGGAGAAAGACGCGCACGAAGAACGCGAAGATTTTGAGAGTGATGTGAAATTGTTACGGAAAATAAAGAAAGGAAGACTCAGCAAGAAAGAGCTGCGAGATGTCTCATTCTAATTCGCTTGTATAATCTGTTACATTTGTTATCACGGTTGAAATGTATTGTTATTTTTGTTATGCTTCGATGTTCGAGAGCAAGTCATTGTTTGTTGTTGATTGCTTGAAAAATAAAGCGAATTTCTTGGCGATCAGTGTTTTCTACAGGCACAATTACCGTATCTCTGCATGCGCCCCGCATTATTGCTCCACGATGAATGAAAAGGCAAATGCGTAAAATTGTAGGATGTAGAGACTGTCCAATTGGTCGGATTGCCGCATTGAACTTCTCAAACAACCCCGGGGGGCCTACAATCCTGGGGAGGGAGTAGGGCGGAGGGTTTCTTCACTGATGAGGCTGAGTTCTGGGAACGAAATTGGCTCTGCCGTTACTGTCGCAATAATGTTATTTACTGAAGAGAGTGAGAGCCAATGGAGGTTCTAGTGTTAGTGTTCGGAGGGTCAGTCAGGCTCTGAGTTTGCTGGCTGATGTGTCACGACGATTTAATGCGGACGCTGCTCGGTTTAGAGGGGCAGTTCGCATTCTCGCTGGTTTGTTGATAATTCCTGTCGAATTACACGTCGCAACATGGTAAAACCTGGTTACGTGTCAACTAAAACTTCTGGTGGAGGTCCTGCTGCGAAAGGCCAGAGCGCAGAGAAACAAGGAACTGTGGCTACGAAGGCATTGAGAGGGACAAAAAAAAACATGTCGCGAGTCAGGAAATCAATTTTTTCCGAAGGGAGAGGACACCGAGGTCAGTATGCCACTTGTTATGCGTGAAAAGTTGGAATGTGGGAGGTCATAGTGGAATTCCGCTCAGACGTGAGAGCGCTGAGAAAAACAGAAGACTGGCGCCTTTAAAGGGATTGAGTTTTAGTTGTCCGTAGGCCGTAAAACCTGTGAACTCTTGCCAGGGGGGGGGGCAAAGCTCATGCTATTGCACAGCTTTACAGGAATTAGCTACTTACAAGGGAGGTCGTTCAGGCCGTGGTGAGCTTTTTCAAAACGGTTTGTTGCATGTTGTAGGGGTCCATGCGAGGACCATAGCGATGGGGTTCATTTTTGCTAAACGGTTCTGGGAATGTCAAAAAAAGGTCAAAAACAATTCGAAAAGAATGGGCTTTTTAAACCACCTTATTCCCCTCTATTCTAGCTGTAGCGTTGACAGTGTATAGTATGAGTATTCTTTGAGCAGGGCATGCAAGAACAGCGCCCCAAAATAAGGTCATAAATCCAAATGCTACGTTGGTCTATGCGCTGGCGCATGCATTGCGAGTTTTCCTCGGTCATCTGCGCAACTATCTATTAAACGGTCCTAGTAATGCGCTCAGTTGTCGCAGTGGCAGATGGTGTGTGGTGGGTAGTGCGACGGGCTTTCGGGCAATGGGTTTGTGGATCGGATCCGCACACCGACACAGTTTTTGCATTTTTCACATTTCTTGCTTCTTGTATTCCTGTATGCCCCATAATGTGTATGACCCGGATATACGCCATTTGAAGGCACATTCCATGCGGGAACGGTTCACAAATAGGCCTCACTCAATTATTGCACTCGCGAAATACTATGGAAAAAAACCCTTCATGAAACTTGGGTCACGGCGGTTATCCGATGCCCTGTTCATGGACACGACACTCATTTTTGAATATGGGGCAATGTATTCGCTAATTTGGTGCAAAGGCTTTCTCGTACTACCATCATTGTCAGTCTGCGCGGCGGGGCTATTTAGCGCCGTACTGGCCCCAGATGGCCTCCGCGGCAAAAATAAGTATCTGAACCGTGATCAGGACCATCAATTACCCCTACGTATAGAGTTACGCCGAGAAAAATTTTCCCGAGCTTTTTGTGTTATGTTGCCGGCCATGTCTCCAGCTAGTGGCTATCAGCCCCCCCCAAGGAGTCGTTATCCAACATCGTTAAGAGGAAGCTTTTCATTTGCTAGTATGCAGACGCAGAATTAAAAACTACACAAAAAGTGACGCACATACACTGCACTCCTCTCATACCTTTGATATGAGAAACAAAAACCTTTCTTCGGGCAGGCGGTAACGAGTTCTTCCCGAAAGCATAGACGGTAAAAGTGAAGAAAGATCCAGGATGCTCGTTTAGTGGCTCCGAAGCTAGCAAGATGTTCTATGAAGACCTACTGAAGTTTGAGGGGCAAGAAATGAAAAATTTCTGGCGGTTCGTCTGCCAGAGGGAATACTTAACGGAGGGTTCGCCTGTCACTGCCATCCAAGGGGTCAGGTCCATGACCACTAAAGAAACTCGAAAAAAAATTTTTCGCTGAAACCTCTCAAACAGGGGTAATCAATGGCCCTGATCACGATTCTGACAATTATTTATGGCGCCGACGTGATCTGGGGCCAGCGTGGCGCTAAAGGCCACTGCGAGCGCGAAGGGATGCTGCATAAGCCCCTAAAGAAATTGCAGTGTACCTCACTGTATGCCAAGTAAGGCACTTGTATTTCGACCTTATTCAATGTTCTTTTTCATGTCTAGTTGAGAAACACTTTATAAACTCTATGTATTCTGCTTTACAGCTGAAACAGATGCGAATGAGATGATAAAACTTGCGTATTTTAAGCGATTTGTTTTTATTCCTTTTTGACATTCCCAATAGCGTTTAGCAAAAATGAAACCCATCTGTGTGGGTCCTTGTATGGACCCCCTTACCAATATTGCCAACATAATCGTTTTGAAAAGCTCACCACGCCTGAACGACCTCCCTATGTTAGGACCCTTCATTAGTTGGGATTTTGGTTATGTCCGTGCTATTCCACATCTTCTCTTCTTTGAAGAGCTGTCGAGCGGGTTAAGCGGGGAGGGGGGGGTCTCACACAATTTCTTTCAGAAGTCAAGTACAACCCCTCCCCTCCCCCAGAAACAAGCCAGTAAGACTCTTGGCCCCCAACATAGCGCCCGTGAAAGACGAAAAATCAACTAATCTTAAAAAATTTCTCAGACTAAATACAAGGGACGGTCGTTCAGGGCGGGCCGCGCTTTTTTCAAAACGGTTTATTAATTTGTAGGGGGCTTCGCCCATGACCATAAAAGTGGCTCGTTTTGCTGTGCGGCTCCAGGAACGCAAACAAAGAGCGGAAGCGTACGTTATGCTACCCCATACGAGTTGTTGTTAAGGCGATATACTGCCGCCCGAAATTGCGTCGACGTCGAAAATAAGTTGTCAAAAATCGTATCATGACATCACAGATAGCCTTATGGACGAACTTCTAGCCAAAAAAAGTTTTTTCGATTTTTTGGGTTTTGGTGGACCATTTGGTCGGCAGTGGTGACCGGAGTATCCCATCTTCGTAAAGACGATGATGGAACGACGACGTAGCAGGCCGCCGGGCAGGACGGCAAACCTGGTGGAATGCCTCCGTTCCCTTCCTCTTTGCATGACTTCATACGGCATTTGTTACTTTTATCTTATGGATAATTAATAAATAGGGGGTCCTTATGGCAATGCACTGTTAGACTTCATGGCAAGACTGTCGGCGACAACGCCAACGCCACTACAACCCAAAAAAAGTTCGATAAAACAATTTTTGGCTCAAGAAGATTGTTTACAGGGGTAATCGATGGCCCCGATCATATTTTTCACACTTATTTTCGGCGCCGACGTAACTTGGCGCCTGGGTAGCGCTACACATCCCTTATTTGTGTGCAGCAAACGAATTCATTGGGTGATGCATGTCGCTCCATATTAGTGATAAATGGCATCGTAGCTACAAATAAGTTCCATATTCGTGTTTCGGGCATGGTCTGACCTACAAAGGTCAACTTTCAACTACGGTCTTGCTTAATGGTATGTAAAACGTGTAATAATTGAATAGCACTGTTTCATGGAGTGTTCCCATTTAAAATGTGCCCATAAATGGCAGTTATCGAACGCATACTCACGCACAGACATATTTGAACGCGAAAACAGCAAAACATAAAAAATGCAAAAACTCGCACGCCGAGGGGAGTCGAACCATCAACCCCACCCCAACTGTCCGCTTGAGATTCCTTCACGCTATCCACTAGGCCATCCGATCGTTGTTGCCGAACATTCCTCCGATCGTTGAAGAAACCATTCCATGAAGCCGTTCTCTCTTGATCACGTGCCACAAGTAAGACCCCATACCCCGACTACTTTTCTCTTCGATTCCGATAGTACCTTTATAGGGTCCCTCCATTCAGCAACTGGTCAAAGTTTCAAGCGGTTTACAGCTCGTAGAGGCTCAAAAACACTCAGTTTCCATAGGTTTCTTTTTCGCTCCTTTTTTGGCGTTCCTGGAGCCGCACAGCAAAAATGAAGCCCACTTTTATGGTTCATGGGCAAGGCCGCCTACGAGTGCCAACTATAACCGTTGAAAAGCGGGGCACGACCTGAACGACCTCCCCTGGTAAGAAGCTCCTCTCTCCCAGCGACTAAATACGATCCCATATTGGAGACTACCGATGTGCCCTCTTCTACACGTCCCCGTCGGCAGTGACCGATGGGAACCAGCACAATGCCCCCCCCCCCACCAAGCCGATCTGCGCCTCTGAGCCATATCAGGAAAATGACGTTCAATAATACCTTAATCTAAAGTTCAATTCATTTTCCAAGAAATTCTTATGTACAAAGCGAAAGCAAAACACAAAACTCTGGCTTACAGCCAACATCGAAAACATAAAAAGAACATTGCGAAGCAATATGTACAATGGCGCAGTGAAAATTCAGAATCGTTGTAAGCGACTATATGAGAAGGCCACATCAGAATTAGAAGATATGAAGTGAAGATGGCAAAAGTGAAATCACACAACTGCCTGTCATGTCAAGAATGTTGAAAAATTAGAAGACGCCTATTGAAGTGAACCCGGATTGGAGTTTCTTTCCCAGAAAATAAAGCACTAATCAAAATGAGAAACACAGGTCACCAGATACCAGACAAGGACTGCATGAACATCCTGTGGAAGATGGCCGTGTTTCGTGACGTGAGATGGATTTATTACTTATCGATTCACCGCTATTTGATTGACTAGCAC